GACACAAACCATTTTAATTTGCTTGAAGTGAAATTCTGACTGCAGTATTAAAATGTGCGATAGAATAATTGAATAAAGCTTCTACCCGTCAGTTTGGGATCTGCTCGCTTATCAGGACCAGGTGGGGACCAATTCAATATGAAAGCAGACAACATCCTAATATCGTTCGTCTCTCTAAGAATTCTAATATTTAATGACCACATTTCTGCGGGAATACTTATAATTTCAAACCCGTTGTAAATATTCTGAAATTCTAGGAGAAAAAAGCAAAGAGCGCAAAACTGATTTTACGACAAGACACAAATGAGTTCATCTAATCAATTTCCTGAATGTGCCAAGGACAATCAATGACCCTTCAAAATGAGAATACACCTGACTTTGCGGAATTTCGTAAAATTACACATTGTAACAGAAATCTACACAGCTTTCTTCTAACCTACAGAACAATATGAAAAGAGAAGAAAATATGAAAAGACACATTTGGAAGGAGCCAGTTGCAACCATGAAACAATCGAAAGCTCTTGGGCCTGTTCAGGAAGGATGAAAACAGCGCCTGAGAGAAACAGCTGAATGAAAGGCGCGTATCAGCGAAACACAGCCCCGGATACGCATCACGACTTAGAAGTGGATTGATCCTTGGGAATGAACAAAACAAAAAGAATGACGAAAAAGACCTTATGTAAAGATTATGATAAAGTTTACCTAATTTGTTGGTAATTGTTGCATTTGAATATTTTACAACTCTGACTCGGTTACAATGCAGGACTTTAGGCTACCGAATGGATCCGTCATACATTACTGTGGAAAGTCTCTAATTTTTTAGTTATCAACCTCATTTTTAAAACTGCTTTACATTCATACCCTGATGATTAGCGAAGCGGAGGGTAAAGGCGAATTGTAGTCAAATGGCGAAAATGTCAGAGAGCAGAGTCGTATGTCCCGCAAACTCTGGAATGACCAAATAAAACACCATGCTGTAGGTATTATCCACAAGTCAATGACATGCTACCCGGTTTTCAGCTAGCTGAATGGGTGAATGGGTGAATTGCACGCTCAAGGAAATTAGCAGTTAAAATATAATTCATGACACGGGTAGTTGGAACCCGGAACCTACAAAGTGCAGAGCAAATTAGTAACTGCACTACGGCCGTAAATCGCTTTCCGTTGTGAGAAGATCACAAAGCAACGTGGGAAGAACCATATATGCTAAATTAATTTATCAGGCATACTCGAACCGTAATTTGCCTTAGGGTCTTTGCGATAACTATGAAGTTACCTGTTTTTGTTAAACTGTATGGCAAAAGTTTGAAACGGCTGCATTGCGCAATTGGTGAACGTCAGCAGCATGTTAACCGTACTGGCAGCTCTGGAAAAGGTTCCAGAAATTTCAATGCCTTTACCTTTGGCTGCAGGAAGCCAAACCTAAAATAAATCAAACTGAAATTCAGGTAAATAAAAATTCAAATATAATAATAAAATTAAACCATTCAAACGAAGCATGACTTAATATAATTCAGCTACATTTCGCATGAGTAAGT